TCAGGTCCAGGTTCGTGCAGATCCGTCTCAGATGGGTGCATGTGGTGGGTGACCCACGGGTGGCCATCAGGGTGTTTCCACTCCTCCTCTTGGCAGGCAAAGTTGAGGGGAACGAGGTCGATCAGCTCATGGTTGTCGCTGTTGCATTTGGGGATGTCGAAGTCCATGGCGTAAACCATGTCGACTACTGTTGCCCTGCCGATGTATTGTGGTGGGTTTGGCTCTTCGTTGGGCTGATGTGGCTTGCGGTAGTGTAGCATGAGGTCCCATGTTTGGGGGTCAGCGCTGATGTCAACACTGCGGGACATCAACTGCGCCTTTGAGAGTAGGTTGTAGAGCAGGTTCTGAACGATGAGCATGACATTCAGGGTGATGTGCATAAGAGTGTTGTGCGCTTGGAGGAAGACTATTCCCTAATGCCTTGCCACAAGCCGTTCATTGTTGGCGACGGTTACATAGGCTGCGGCAGGGGTGAGAACGGCATTGGAGATGAAGCGTTCAAAGCCGACCATGTGCTGTCCGTAGCAACTGTCCAGGTACCAGGTGTTGTAGTTGTTGTGGTTGTTCCAGTAGTGCAGGTTCCATTCCAGCTCTTCTTCATCAATCTCATAACTGTCGTGCTCGTTGTAGGGGTACATTCCCTATGAGGTTTCCAGATCCGACTCGGATAACTGCACACGACTCGAGTAACAGCCTGCGTTGTATGTACAGGGTCAGTTATGTTTCCTTGCTGTCGTGACAGACCCTTGAACTTCTGTTGGTTCGACTGTCGGTCAACGTTCAACGACCGTTGCACTTCGTACCGCGCGTTACAGGCTTAGACTCGACAAGGGTTATGGCTCGAGTGTCACTTTCAGGAATGTAACAATCTCCTTATCATAACACATATTGGTTACAAACTCATTCCAGAGTTCCGAGGTCATTTCAGAGGGTCCTGCCATAGGGTCTAGAATAAGGCAAAATGAACAAAATGACCGAACTGGCTCTGATACCAGTGAAACGTGCTGAAACCGGGAGAGTAAGGGCCTTAGTAGGCTTAGAAAACGAGTGCAAGACCTCTCTGGAATCTCCAATGCCTTACACAATTTCCTGAGTACAGTTTAAACGACACATTCAGAAGCCGAGTCACACGTCGAGTCACGACACTCTGAATTTCTTCTTGGTTTCTCTCAGCCCTTGAAAAGAACTTCGCCTTGAAATTCAGAGACACGTGGCATTACGGGGCTGGACGGCAAGTGAAATTAAGGGGCTGTAAGTTTGTCGGCGTGATTGGCAAAGTCAGCGAGAGGTCGGAATGTGGGTGTTCTTCGTTTCGCTGACTTTGTGGGAGGGTTTAGTTTGGTATGTTTGTCTTGTGCCGAACGCCAATCTGCTGAGTTGGATGGTTGACCAATCCCACCTTGGGAGGTTTGGAAGTTGGCAGCCTCCCACTTGTAGGGATTGTGGTGCTGTTTGGTTGTTGCTGTGTCACATTAGGCTGCTGCAGTGTTGCATTACTTCCCCCCCCAAGAGCCGACGTCCGCGGCCAGATTTTGGCTGGAGAGATAACGGGTGATGGAGATTGTGGCATGGTTGAGGGCGAGTTCGGGTTTCCAAGAGTCAAACTCCGGTGGCTGGTGCTTCCACTAGACAAGGAATTCACGACCAGCAGGGGTGTCGCGATGATTGGTGACGGAATCAAACTAAAAAAGGTTGGTGCTGCCCTCAAACATGGGAGGAGGTGGATGGGTCTTGGGGCGGTTGGGTGAAGGCGGCTGACATGAAAGACTGGGTGAATATGCATATAGGTCAGGAGTTGAAGACGATATGTGATGGGAGATAGGACTCGAGTGATGGGGAGCGAGCCTATGAAGCGAGGAGCCAACTTGCAAGTGGTGCCTTTGCAAAGGAGGGGCAGGTGATCGGTGGACAATAACATGGATTCCCCTTGCTGAAATAGGACATCACGTCCATGGGAGTTAGCATAACGGGTCTGGTGTTCCTGGGATCGAAGGATGGGGTGACGAGCGTTGCGGATGAGAGAGTCAAGGGAGGAAAGGAAATCGAGAGTGGAAGGTGTGTGTGCGGGATGCGAGGGTGGGGCGATGGGAAGGCAGGAGTGCTGGCTGGTAGCAAGGTCAAAAGGGGAGTGACCAGTGGAGATGTGGGGGCTGCTGTTGTAAGCGAGTTCGATCCTTGAAAGGTACAAGTCCCATTCGGTTTGGCAGGCGTTGATGTGGATGCAAAAGGCATCTTCAAGTGTTTGTTTCATGCGTTCGGTTTGGCCATAGGTCTGGGGATGGTAGGCAGTAGAAAAGCGTAGCCGGGTGCCACAGAGTTTGATGAGACTCTGCCAAAATCTGCTGAGAAAGCGAGGGTCGCGATCAGAGATGATAGCTGAAGGAAGGTTGTGTAGGCGAACGGCATTGTCGAAGAAGAGACGTCATTTCAGGTGCGGTAACGGTAGTGTGGGTAGGGATAAAATGGGCCTTCTTTGAAAGCCGGTCAACCACAACAAGTATGGCATTGTAGTGACGAGGAGTCAGGGGTAGATCCATGATAAAATCCATCGTGAGTTCATCCCACACCTTGGTCAGTGGCGGGATAGGTTGGAAAAAACCGTAGCGGTGTGTCGCTGTGCATACGGGGCCACATGTAGTTGTTGCGGAGGTTGGATTAGGTCTTCTCGATACTGAAGTGAAAGCCCACGTCATAGTATTCAGACAGCAAGAATTGCTTCAAGGAATGGTCAGCTGGAACGGCGACAGTATTGGTGCTAGTGTTGTACCAAAATGGGTCGTCAAATCGGTAGGGGGGGTCGGTGGGGGAATGGTCGGTGAAGAATGTGTAGTGTGCGTAAGCGGGGCGACACTTGGAAATAAATGATTCATCCCAAGTAATCGAGCTAAAGCCATTGAGTTCGAGGGGACAGGGTGATAGTGGGGATGAGGAAGGCGAGGGGGAGGGTGGTGCGGGCGGGAGAGTGAGGATGTTGGCTGTATTGAGTCGGCCCGGGCGGTAGATAACTCCGGGGCAGTCTGCTAAAATAACTCGACCCACGTTGCTTGACGTCGGCAGAGAATCGGCTGAGTGAGCAAATGCTGGAGTGGCTGGTGATCGGTGTAAACAGTGAGAGGCTGAAGTTCCACATAGCAACGCCATGTGTCGATGGCATGAAGGATAGTGAGGAGCTCTCTGTCATGATTCGGGTAGTTCCTTTCAGCGTTGAAGCTTACGAGATTTAAACGCAATAGGTTGCAAGCCGTGCCCATGATCTTGGCAAAGAATGGCGCCAACTGCGATGTTGGAGGCATCAGTCCAAATGATATATGGACAAGACGGGTCAGCTACTGTGAGGACCGGTGCAGCAGTCAGAGCGGCTATGAGGGTGGTGAAGGCGGTCTGTTGTGGCTGTTCCCACTGGAAGGCGACACCTCGGCGGAAGAGTTCGGTCAAGGGGGCGCAGATGTGAGAAAAGTTGACGATAAACTTCTGGTAATACTTGGCAAGTCCAATGAAACTTTGCAGCTCCGCTACCGTGCGTGGTGCTGGCCAATCAGCAAGACACTCGACTTTAGCAGGGTCCATAGCAATGCCTTTAGAGCTGATGACGTGAACAAGGAAGACATGCTTGAACGGGCGAAGGTACACTTGGATAGCCTCGCATAGAGGCGATGGCGACGAACATGAGAATGTCATCGAGGAAGACGATGACAAAACGGTCAAAGAAGGGCCTGAAGATGTCATTCATGAGGCCCATGAATGTGGCTGGAGCATTGGTGAGGCCAAATGGTAGAACGTGAAACTTGAAATGGCCGTAGTGGGTGCAAAATGCCGTCTTAGGAGTGTCAGCTTCAGCAAGGCAGATCTGGTGGTAACCGGAGCGTACATCAAGTTTACTGAACAAATGTGCTTCTCCAAGCATGTGGAACAGCTCTTCGTCACAGGGCAGCGATAGACAACGCAGAGTCGTAAATCTCCTTCCCTTTTTTGGGTGAAGAGTACGGGTGCGGCATAGGGTGGAGTGCTAGGGCAGATGAAACCCTTAGAAAGAAGGTCATTGAGTTGGCAACGCAACTCCAAAAGTTTCACCATACTCATGCGATAGGTTGGGTGGACTGGTGGTGAAGCTCCAGGGACAAGGCAGATGGTATGATCAAGAGCACGAACGAGTGGGAGTGCAGCGCAGGGAAAACATTGTTGTAGATTGCAAGTGTTGAACGGGTGCTGGAACGAGTGAGGTAGCCGAGTCAGGGGCGGTGAAGATTACCAAGAGGTGATGAGGATGAGGTGAGGAGAAGGAAGAACGAGGTGGGGGATAAAAGATTTCAGGAAAGGTTGGGAAGATGGGAGGAGGGGGCCGCTGGTTTGGACGAGGAGGGAAAGGAGGAGGTGTGTTGATCACTTCGAGAGAGGGGTGGCAGCGGAGGGGGCGAGGCTAGAGGAGGAGGAGGAAGAGCAGGGATGTGTCTAGCAGGGGGTGCAGCTGGTTGGGTTGGAAACGTCGATGAGGTTGCGCTGAGTGGAGACGACCAAGGGTGATGACGGTTGTGAGACGGGAGGTAGTAGTTGCCAACAACAACACTACCGGAGATCCAGTAGATGCGGGGCCCAAGTTGGTACAACCATGGCCGACCAAGGATGTCTTCATAGCCTCCGAGGGGTAGCTGTTCAAACGTCGCCGTAGCCTCCAGATATCGAACTTGCAAGGTACCAGTAGAAACATTCTCCCACAGCGTCGTCGAGTTCCGACTGCCATGATGACATCTTCGGGATAGCTGTTGGGATCTTCGGGGCCAGTTTTGACCATTGACGCGACACACGACTGGAGGCAGCACGGACTTGCTGCTTGGACACATGACCCATGACACACAACCTTGACACGTGACCTAGATACCTGACCCTGACCTGTGGGCACCGACCATTGGCACATGCATAGGCAGCAATGGAGGGGGAAGTGAAGTTTGCAGAAGCGCCGGTTTCAAGTAAAAAGTCAACGAAATGATTCTTGATTTTAGCATAAAGAATTATGGTGAGAAAGTGAGTGTGTGGCATTGTTGTATAGAGCTCGGATCTGACAATGGATGGTGGTGTTGGTAGTAGGGGGGAGGTTACTGTGCAAGAAGTTTGCCCTGCAGCTGCTGGCATCCTTTATTTCCCAGGGATCTTGCAAACTTGCGGCGATTCGGGCAATGGCGCTTTTAGTGACCGACATTCCCGCACAAGTAGCACGTAAGCGTTGACTGGTTTTGAGGGCACTGGTCCAACACGCCAAGTTCCATGAGTGTAGGGTCACCGAATTCCTCGGCCGCTCTCACCCATGGCACCAACGATTCCTCGATCTGCAAGAGCTCTTCACCGACACAAACTTGGAGCTGCAGGGCATCCATGGTATTAGGTGGCTCTCACGTGGTGAGGCCATCCTCAGGCTCCTGATGGTGATTCCCGCAGTCGTTGTCATGGTCCATAAGATGCGGAGTCCTAAGTTATTGGCTATTGCTAAGTCTTACCACTTCTGGTTCTTCGTGCATTTCCTGGCGGATGTGCTCGAGCAGCTTAACATCCTCAACAAGACCTTCCAGTCGAGTGAGGTCAGTTCAACCGCGACGCTGAAGCCCAATCATTTTGTGCGTTCTTACCTATGCTTTCCCATGTTCCTGTTGCAGCTGGATTTCATGACCGTGCATGGGAAGATTGCGCAGAGCACGAGCATCATCGAGAGCCCATACATCGACTGCGGCGACGACTTTGGCAATGGCTCGACAGAGTGCCTAGGGCAGTTCATCACCCATCACAGCCCTGGCGGTACGCCCAATGTCATCCTTGAGGGCATGGACTCGGTTGAGCAGCCCACATGATTCAGGGTAAGCTTGCATTCGACGACTTGCAAAACTACCCTGGGAGGGGCACACACAAGGCCTGCATTGATGCTTGCACCGAGATGACAAAAGGGCTCGTTCAGAATGTGGATGAGCAGCTGGGCGACCTCGAGCAGCTCTCTGAACGCCGTCTCTTCTCCGCAGACACATGGCTGGAAAAGTGAGATTGCGCTGCCTAAAACGAGCAGTGCTTGAAGTAGTTTCACTCCCTCGTCAAGCTCTACCGTGCGGAGGACAGCAACGAGATTCTGGCAGGTGCTTTTCCTCTAGTCAATCGTTACCCCCTCCCCCCCCTCCCCTATTTGCTTGTGCCGTTTCTTGTGTGAGGAAAAACGTGTTGCCCAACTCACCCCATGCTGCGTTTTGTGTGTCGTAGACATTGACAAGAGGAAGGTCGTGAAGGAGCTGCAGCACTTCGTTCCCATGCTCGCTTGACTGCTGTACTGAAGACTATGGACTGGCATGTCCACTACCCCAATCTCGTGGGGTTGTGGGTGGCGGTGGCAGTAAACCTGCTCAGCACAGTGGAGTGTGAGCAGGGGTTCTCGCACCAGAACCTGATTAAGAGCTGGCAGCGTGGCAGCCTGAAGGATGCGAGACTGGAGGCTCTGATGGTCATGTCCATGTTGGACTACGACCCTGACTGGGATGCTGTATTGGAGATATCATGGGCCTACAAGAAGAGGCGGTTGTACTCTACCACCCACCAGCATAGGTAGAGCCAGAAGGGCAAAGAACGAGTGGACGAGGAGGAGGAGGAGGAGGAGGAGGAGGAGGAGGAGGAGGAGGAGGAGGAGGAGGAGGAGGAGGAGGAGGAGGAGGAGGAGGAGGAGGAGGAGGAGGAGGAGGAGGAGGGGAGGAGGAGGGGAGGAGGAGGAGGAGAGGAGGAGGAGGAGGAGGAGGAGGAGGAGGAGGAGGAGGAGGAGGAGGAGGAGGAGGAGGAGGAGGAGGAGGAGGAGGAGGAGGAGGAGGCAGGGGTTAGGATGGGTGATGTTGGTGCAACCCTATGGCTTGCACTCGGCTTGTCGTCCTTGTTTGTGTGTGTGCATGCATGGCATGGAATGATTTGTGAGTCTATGTCATTGCTATCTAGTGCTTGTGTGTGAGTTTGGATGGTGTATCACAATGTGGTTTGTGTCGGTCAAGACATTAGCGAGTTTTTACAACTCGCATGTCAAGTCGTCGTTTTCGTGTCGCATGTGTTTTTGTTTTTTTCTATTTTGTCGAGTGTGAAGTGTCCATCGCATCGCAGGTGTGTGCAGCAAGCCCCCATCAACTCAAGAAGAATTTATCTTGCAGAACCAAGACCAAGAGCTCAAGATTTCAAGCCCAAGGGACGCGGATAAATATTAAATAGTGAAAATAGTAACGCTACTTCGTGTAGTGTTACATTGCACTTGGTGTAGCCCCTTGGAGGGCTTGTTTCGAGACTCTTCATGGTTGGGGACTCTGTGGTGGTGTACCACCAACCTGGATCTCGGCTCTTGGGGTAGGTAGAGGCTGGGAACCATCTCCATCTCCAACTCTTCTTGCTAAGTTTGGACTTCCAAGACTATAGTGGCTGCTATACCTCTTGCCAGTCAAACCGCCATAGCGTCATCAAAGCTTCATGGAATTTCATGATTCAACTTGCTGCTGATAGACGGCAGCAAAACGCTCCAGATCCATTTTACAGATCACCGTTTGATTCAGCGACCAGATCGTTATCAATATTTGAAGCCGTCTGACGGAAATCCGACTGTGCTCTCTATCTCTCATTATAGGCACATCTAAGCCTATTGTGATTATAACAGGTGAGACTGTAGATGAGGATGATTTGGATGGTAATGGATGAGATATAGTAGATGCTGCAGTTGCAAAATATCAGATGTAATGTCATGCATACTTTTCTGCTCGCCAAACTTTTTGTATCAAGTCTGTTTGGAAAGCGATTTTTTTTTGCACTACTCTGATTTTTCAGCCATTTTCCAAGGGGGAAGTCCGCGGGTTCAGCCTAAACCTATTGCCTAAGGATGATCGATCAGCGTGACCCTAAACCAATCTAGGGGCCTGGCAGGCACTGTCGGCTGGCGGCAAGGGCCGTGGGGGTTTGGCAGCAGCGGGTGGAGGGGGTGCGGGTGCCATGATAGGTTGTCGAGAGAATGATGCACTAAGGGAAAGTGTCGAGGGTTACAAAGTAGGGCTGTACCCCCTAAGAACTGACCTAACTAAGTCAATAACAAATATAAACTAGCTAGCCTAGATGTTGACATCCCAAACCACACCAGGGCTCCCTTCAAGAGTGCATCAGTGCTGAGCCATCCTGTCAGGAGCCCTTGTCAAACATATCTTGTATGTTGTTATAGACTACATAGGGTCGTGACTTAGAGAGTACAACCCAGCAGGCTATATTCCCTTGTATTCTATTCATTCTTTCACTTTGATATGGTATCAAGAGTAGGTTAGGTCCCCCCCGCCCACCAGTGCTTCTGCCTTAGCTCCTAGCCGCCCCGTCTCCCTGCTGCCCGTGCTGGCTCGTCCCCTAGCAGCCCCTGTCACCTAGCGCCTAGCTGGCCCACTAGCCCCGCTGGCCCCGTGGCCCTGTCACCTCACGCCCTGCTGCCTAGCGCCTAGCAGGCCCCGCGGCCCTGTAGCCTAGCCGCCCAGCGGCCCCGTCGCCTAGCCCCCATGCGGCCCCGTCGCCTAGCCACCCCGCGGCAACGTTGCCTAGCCGCCACGTGGCCCCGTCGCCTAGCCGCCACATGGCCCCGTCGCCTAGCCGCCCCGCGGCCCCGTCGCCTAGCCGCCCCGCGGCCCCGTCGCCTAGCCGCCCCGCGGCCCCGTCGCCTAGCCGCCCCGCGGCCCCGTCGCCTAGCCGCCCCGCGGCCCCGTCGCCTAGCCGCCCCGCGGCCCCGTCCCCTAGCCGCCCCGCGGCCCCGCGGCTCTGTCGCGTAGCCGCCCCGCGGCCCCATCACCTAGCCGCCCCACGGCCCCATCGCTTAGCCGCCTTGTGGCCCCGTCGCCTAGCCGCCCCGCGGCCCCGTCGCCTAGCCGCCCCACAGCCCCGTCGCCTGGCTGCCCTGCGGCCCCGTCGCTCGGCCGCCCCGCGGCCTCGTTGCCTAGCCGCCCCGCGGTCCCGTCGCCTAGCCGGCCAGCGGCCCTGCCGTCCAGCAGCCCCGCGGCCCCGTTGACCATTCGCCCCATGGCCTCGTTTACCGGCCATTCCGCGGCCTTGTCGCCCAGCCGCCCCGCGGCCCCGTCACTCAGCTGCCCCTACGGCCCCTCTCGCCCATTCACCGCCCAGCTCGCTCCACCGGCCCTTCCCACCGTGCTCCACCGCACTGCACCACGCCCCATCGTGCTGCCCCGCTCTCCACCGCACGGCACCGCACTCCATCGCACTCCACCGCACTCTACTGCATTGCACCGCACTGCACAGCTCTGCACCGTGCGGCACTGCAGTGCACCACATTCCACCACACTGCACTGCACTGCACCGCGCCCCACCACACTGCACTGCTATGCACCGTGCGGCATTGCACTGCACCGCATCGCGTTCCACCTCATTGCACCGTACAGCACTGCTCTCCACTACTCTACGTCGCTCAGTCTAGCCCTTTACCGCCTTTTTGCAGTTGCAACGGCCATGATGACGGACACGGTGCTGCGCTTTGACGCGGAGGGTCAGCCAGCTGAGTTTGACACGTGGCTCGTCGACCTCCGCCGTCACCTCACTGGTCAGCGGCAGGACGGCCACTCTCTGGCCGTCCACATCGATGGTACGCTCCCCTGCCCTGACCCCCCTGCTGCTCTCCCTGCTGACCCCACGTCTGCTGACCGTGAGTCCGACGCCATCGTTGCCCTTGCCCGTGCTGTCTGGTTGTCGCGTAACGCTGTCGCACAGCTCGTGATTAACCATGCCCTCCCCCTGTCTGCTCGCCCCCACTTTAAGTCGGTCAGGACTGCGCAGGAGTTCTTAGAGGCTGTTGTCGAGCGCTATTCCACTCCGTCCTCTACCTCTGCTGGCCGCCCGATCCTTCCCATGCTCTTCCCTGATCTCGCGTCTTTCTCCACCATTGCTGACCTGGCCACGCACCTGTGCACGCTTGACGCGAGCTTGTGCGCTGCCTGCATTGAGGCCCAGCTTCGTGTATTCCAGCCCCCTATCTGCTCTACCCATTACCTGCTTGCCACCCGCCTCCCTGAACGCCTTGCTACTGCCCACGACCACTTTCTGAGTCTCCACCCCGCTGACCTCACCCTCACTGACTTTGTCGACACCCTGTCCACCATAGAGACCCGTCACCACTCTATCGCCCAGTCTAGCGATACTGCGCCGGTCCCTATCTTTCAGGGTTGTGCCCCCGCTCAGTGTACTTAATCTGACGGTTCTGCGGCTGTCGCTGAGACAGCCTTTGCTGCTGAGACCACAGCCGCGGTAGCCGCAGCACAGTCCCGTTATGATAAGGCCCGCCGCCCCAAGGCTGGGCGCGGCGGTGGTAGTGGAGGAGTGGGTGGAGGTGGTGGTGGCAGTGGCTCAGCCGCTAGTAGTACCGACGAGGGGGCTGGGGCTGGTGCCTCAGAGCAGCAGCCCCAGTGGCAGCAGCTGCAGCAGCAGCAGCAGCAGTCGCAGCGGAGGGTCGACCGCCTGCCGCCTGGGTGGCCTGTCGCCGGTGGTGGTGGTGGTCGCGGTGGTCGTGTGCGTGGCTCATCGTCGGGTGGTGGTGCGAGTGACGGGCGCTGCCAGTACCAGCTCCAGACCGGTCCTCGTCGCGGCCTCAAGTGCGGTAAGATCAGTCATACCCCCACCCGCTGTTTCAGTCGCTTGGACGACCTATTTCGTCTCCGCTTCGGGCCCGCGCCGGACCTCCCTGACTGGCACAGTCTGCTCCACTGTGGTGTTAGGATCTTTGATATGGACATGGATGAGATTAGCTCTGCATTGTATGTGTTGTATGTCGATGACTCTAGTGTGAGTGGTTCCTATTACCCCATATTGCCTAGTGTAGGTGTGCCCAATGTGCCACGTTTAGGCTTCCCTGCTGCGTCAGGCATAGGACCCCCTGCTTTGTTTAGCCTTGGCTCCACCCTAGCTCCTCCGCCCCCAGCCGCCACTGCCGCACTCTCCTTCACGCGCGACTCTGGCGCGTCTCGGTGTTCCTTTCGGGACCACACTATGCTTACGCCGCTTGCCGCTCCTGCCACAGCTTCCCTTGCAGACCCTTCCTCAGGTCCAGCAGTCACCCATAGCTCCACCACCCTACCTTGTCCGGCGGTTCCTTCAAGCTCCCTTACAGGCCTGCACATCCCCTCGTTCTCTAGGAACTTAGTTGGTGTCGGCTGCCTTCAGTACCTCAGCGTTACCACAACGTTCCCTGGTCACGAGCGGTACACTGTCTGTACCGAGGCTGCCACTGGTGCTCCCCTCACCACGTTCCCCCTGGACCCGGTGTCTGGCTTGTTCATGCTGGACAACGCTTCCCCCCCAATTGGAATGCCTCCCTAGGTGGCTGCGTCTACCCAGGTTGATGCGGCTTGCTCGTGTCGATTGCTTACCCACTCGTCCCTCCTGTGGCACCACCGTCTAGGTCACCCCGCCATCACACATCTCTGTTACATGTCTCAGCACTGTCTTGTCTTGGGTCTCCCTGCGTCGCTCCCTTCGCTCCAGTCCTCGCCAGTGCCACCGTGCACCCCCTACATTGAGGGCCGGCTCCGCCGTGCCCCTCGCTCCTCCTCATTTCCCCCTACCGTTGCACCGCTGCAGACCCTGCACCTGGACGTCTGGGGCCCTGTCCCCGTCCATGGGCCGCGTGGCGAGTGCTACTTTCTCCATGCTTGTCGACGACTACATGCGCTACACCACGGTGTTTCCCCTGGAGTGGAAGGCCGACGTGCCTGACATTCTTATCCCGTGGCTTGTCTCTCGCGTGTTCACCAAGGTCTCCTTGTGTTGCGTCTTCACTCAGACCGTGGTGGCGAGTTCGCCTCTGGTTGCCTTGGTCATCTTTGTCTTGCTGAGGGCACTGCTGAGCAACGCATCGGTTTGGTCATGGAGGTGGCCCGTACCTCCATGATCCATGCCGGTGCACCCCATTTTTCTGTGGCCGTTTGCTGTCCGCTACGCCGCTCACCAGCTTGGCCTGTGGCCGCACGCTCAGTGGCCGCAGGTTTTGCCGACCCTCCTCTGGACCGGATCTCCTGGTGACGCGTCTGCGTTCCACATCTGGGGCTGCCTTGCTCACGTTCGAGTCTCTGGCACGGACAAGCTCACTGCCCGCACTGTCCCCTGTGTCTTCCTATGTTTCCCCATCGACTCGTATGACTGGCACTTCTATCACCCGCCGTCTAACTGTTTCTTTCACTCTCGCGAAGTCGCCTTTAACGAGTCTATTTCCTTCTACCACCGCATTCTCCACCATGGTCCCCCGGTTACTCCCTCCCTGTTCCCTAGTTCCCCCTCCCCCGGTTGCCCCTGCTTCCCTTGCTCCCCACCGTGCCTCGTCTGGTGTGTCTCACGTCACTCCCCTCCCATCTAGTGTCCTTGTCGAGGAGTCTGATGACTCTCACGGCTCTGCGGAATCCCTTCCACCGCCTGTACTGCCCGGGTCCCTCATCCACTGTCGCCGCCGCAGCCGCCTCCGCAGATGCCGCCGCCGCCGCAGCCACAGCCGCCGTCGTCACCGCCGCTGGGGTTCGTGCGTTCCAAGGGTGCTGGCGAGCGTGCTGGAGAGGGTACTGGAGCGGGTTTCCATTCTGGGGATGTTGGCGTGGAGCTTCTTGGCGGGAGCCGTGGTGCCGCTGGAGGTTCTGGCATTGGAGTCAGGCAGCAGCCGCAACACTCGCCGCCGGTGTCCGCTCTTCGCCCCCTCGGTCTTCCATCCCCTGACCGCCCACCTGTTCCTCCTCCGTCACCACCGCCTACTCCTCTTCCAGACTACGGCCCTATGTTTCCTCCACCGGACTCTTCTCCAGCTCGTTTCCCTCCTCGTTCTCCTCCTGTGTCTCCTCCCCTCTCTCTTGACTCCCCCGTCTCATGTCTGGGCTCGTCGTCCGTCTCGTGCTCATCAACGCTCTCACCCTATGTTGCTTCGTTCCCACGCGTCTCGTGCTCCCCCGCTCCTCTCGTCACCTCTTCCATCGTCGCTCGTTGTGACCCCGCCTCCGTTATGTGACTGCCTCCGTGTCGCGCGTCCCCTTGTTCCTCATGTCCTTGCCTCTCTTGTTACCAACCCGTCCGTTCCTGTCTCGAGTCTGTCGGCTCTTGTCGCTGCTGTCACTGACTTCGCTGCTACTCGCCGCCTTGACTGCACCACCGCTATGGTTTCTGACCATGCCTGCCCTCCGTCCGTCGAGGGTGTGGCTGCCCTTGGCAGTGACGTCCTAGAGGACATACAGTACGAGCTTGCTTTCCTGTCCGAGGCCACTCCCCATCTCTGTTCCATGCTGCTAGTCCCTGAGGGTGACCCAGACGCCCTTGACATCCCGACTCCTCGCACCTACGCTAAGGCCACCTCGGGACCCTGGGCCACTCAGTGGATAGCTGCCATGGAGCCGGAGATGGCATCTTGGAGATCCACCGGTACCTTCATCGACCCCGTTCTCCCACGTGGGGTGAACGTAGTCGATGGCCGGTGGCTCTTCAAGATGAAGCGCCCTCCTGGTGAGCCGCCTGTCTTCAAGGCGTTCTACGTTGCTCGTGGCTTCAGTTTGTGTGAGGGGGTTGACTTCTTTCAGACCTTTGCCCCAACCCCGAAGATGTCTACATTTTGGATGCTGCTACACATAGCAGCACAGCATGACTACGAGCTGCACTCCCTCGACTTCTCCACAGCGTTCCTCCAGGGCAGTCTACACGAGCAGGTCTACCTGTGCCGCCCCCCGGTTTTCTCCAGTACCTCCCCTCCTGGTACCGAGTGGCTCCTCCGACGCCGAGTCTACGGCCTGCGCCAGGCGCCCCGTGAGTAGCACGACGCGCTGTGTGCCACACTTGCTGACCTGCAGTTCTTCCCGTCGTCTGCAGACCCCTCGCTCTTCATCCGTTCCGGACAGACTCTGCTCTACATCCTTGTCTATATAGACGACCTGGTCTTTGCCACTGCAGACAGAGAAGCGCTGGCCTTCGTGAAGGCCGAGTTGCTGAGGAGACACACCTGCACTGACCAAGGAGTGCTGCGCCGCTACCCTGGCTTGTAGATCTCCAGAGACAGAGCAGCGCGTCCCATCACTCTCACACAGTCACACTTGGTGCGCCAGGTCCTTCAGAGGTTCGGCCTTCAGTTCTCTTCAGCACAGCCCACCCCTCTGTCAGTAGACCACAGACTCTCTGCCCCTATCCCGGAAGAGGTTGTAGAGCCTAGTGTTCCTTACACAGAGCTAGTGGGTTGCCACATGTACGTGATGACTTGCACTCGTCCAGATCTCGCATACCCTCTTAGCATCCTGGCCCGCTTTGTGGCCACCGGCAGACACCGACCACAGCACTGGTCAGCAGCTGAGAGGATTTTGCGTTATGTAGCACGTACATCAGGCATGGGGCTAGTGATAGGAGGACGCAGACCAGTGGTCTTGACAGGGCACACTAATGCTTCTTGGGCAAACGACGCCGAGACTGTCAGGTCCTCCCAGGGCTACTCCA